CAGTTAATTGTAAGTTTGCATAAAATTAAGCACTAATTGTCTAAATTATGTCATAATTTACATGCTGAATTTGCATTTTATCAACAATCTTAGAATTTCCATTTTTAATATTGATTTCTGAAACATAGTGAAGAAAATGATTTAAAAGAAAAATTTATAATATGTTTTTTCCATAGTTCAGCACTCTTTGGCTACTCTAAATTTCTAAATCCAATCTTGGGCATCATTAATACTTGTTAGTGCACATGTCAAACATCAAAGTGTCAACTAGCTTCTAAGCATAGATTTTTAGGTCAAGAGGACAACAAATCAAGATTTATTTCCAGCTCACTGTTTCCAGTTTCATGGTTCTATAGTTGTTCAAGAGCACCCAACATCTGCACTAGTTTTCGTATTTTATTACAATTAACCACTCACAAATAGTGGAGTATAAGATCAAATCTTACAGTCTTTGGATTTGAGCCTCCTTTAGTGTAGAGTGTGAGGCTTTATGGTGGAAGCATAGATTTTTGAATACAATAACTAACCAAATAGTAAATTCACAGAATGAAAATTCCGAGATTTAGGTTCAGAAGATTATAGTGTTACTTATTTTTCAAAATGCCACTTTATTGAGTTCTAATGTTATGAATGGTTTTAAAAAAATCAGTAACTCTTCAGCTGTCTAATTCATGACTAATGCTTTGTCCTTTTCTTAGTTTTCCATGTAGCACTAGTGAGACTAGTAATAAGGGATGTATCAACTATTCAGTTATATGCATTTTATTAAACAAGAAATGAGAGAGGTATGCATGAACAAAGAACTTAATTTCAGATCACTTTCAAACGGTAAGTAAAAAGGCAAATTATAATAAGCTCCACATCTTGATCAAGAAAACCTTGAAACTTCTGCAAGCTTGCAAATCATATGTTGAAGATATAGCAGAAGTTTCTTTAATTTGTTAGACTTGTCTCTCTCTCCAGATACCTTAGAATAAGGTTACCACTCAATGTCCGACCTCATAAAGTGGCATTCCAACACCATCTTGATCTGTACAAAATATATCCAAGCTTTCTTGCAGCACTCAAATGCCTAAGAGTCCTATTTTATTTAATGAAAAATTTATGGTATAGTTTTGATTTATTTTCTTGCATGATTACATGTAAGTACATATTGTTTTAGTTCTAACAAACACGTTGAAGGGATTTTAAAAGATAAAAAGGGTACATGAAATCATGTGTATTTCTTTTATCAATTTCTAGATTTTGATATAATTTTAATAAAGCATAGAACAATTCAGTGGATCTCTTGATATTTTTTTCTGTAGAGAATTGAACAATTGATTCACAAAACCCAATGATCATGGTTTTAGTAATAGCTTCGTGAGAGAAAAATTTTAAATTTTTAATGTAATTTATTTTAAATGTTGTATAATTTTAGCTTCAAAGGTTATTTAGTTTCACTTCATCACCCATGATCCATTAATGACTGACTTACGGCCACCTTGGACAACAGCATCGTGGATAAGGGCTAGAGGAGCCCTCCGCCCCAATTCACCATCACTAAGTGTGGTCGGCTACTGTTGAATAACAGCTTTTATGATGCATCGACGTACGAGCTGGAAACTCAGAAGGACCAATATATAAACCATTTTGGTTGTCACAGTAGAAACAAGAGCCATCTTTTCTACTATTTTTTCGTATTCCGCCTCATATCCCATGGGCCTTGTACTATGTGACTACACATCTAGTTGTTTCGAAGATCTTTTCTCCCTAAAACAAAGAATAGTGACATTTTATTGTATCTACAATTGAATGAAAGACGTTTACTCACTAAAGCATGAACAGTTCAATAAAAAATCACAAATCACATTTTATTTGATCACTTTTCTAGGATTCAGTTCTTACATATTTTCTTACTTATTTTATTTCCATTATGTGTATAGTTAGGACCTTAAGCACTCTCTCTGCATCTCTTTTATTTTAATGCATAAAAAATATGCCATAAATTTTGTAAGTTTCCATTGTTGGCTCCTTAGAGAGAGGTATCATCTCTTGTGATTCAATAGCTTTGAGGATGACACCTCATTTAAAAATTCTGTTCTATGAAATTACAACCAGCCTCTATAAAACCTTATGAATTATCCTTAATCGTATTATATAAAACCTTATGACTCCACAAGCCTGCTAAGTTGAATGCATCCAACATGGCTCTATAAAAGTTTATATAGGGAAAATTGAAAAAGCTAGAAAATAATTATCCTTAATCCCTATCACTGAAGGGAGAAATTCCAAAAAGCTCATATCTATAACAAGAGCCACAGGATTCATTCTTACCCAACCTCAACTCCAAATTTTAATATTTTTCTTTAAATTTTAAAATAGCCTTCCACATTGTAAGTGGTGGGTCATGGACCCTAGCCCCACCATCGGTGACCACGACATCAAGGCCACTCCACGTTGCCGCCGACTTCTATTTCTATTAGAACTTACTCGTTTTTGATTTACTTTTATTTACTTTAGGTTGTAATCCTCCCTCTCCTCCCGTGGCCTGTAAATATGCCTACGGTTTCTATTGAACGTGGCTTTGATCTTCATAAGACTTTTCTTATATGAGAGATCGTGCCCTAAGGGTTCCGTGTGACCACCGCTGCCTGTAGCCACCGCCGTCGCGTGGGTCTCCCTCCCCCCCTCGCTACCTTCTGGTCAACCCTCTTTGTCGTTACCGGCGGGTCTCTCTGTCAGCACTCGTGTGCCCGGCGACGCGCTGATCAGCGTCCCTCGGAGCGCCGGCAACACGCTGTGTACGAGCCTCCCGCAGGCGCTCACGCGCCCTGTGCATCTTCCCCAAGCGCTCACGCGTCCAGCGCCTGGCGGACGCGCCACTGCGACTCGCCTTGCGCACCAACCATCCGCCCTACACGTCGACCGCGTACACCCTGCGCACCCTGCTCCGCCCAGCATCGGATTTAGGTTTCGGGGCGCTGCCCCGAACCCCGCAAGGGGGCAACTTCTCCCCTTTACTCCCCCACCAACTAGCCACGTAGTTGGATCCGCGACGGGCTCGTCCTCTTCTACTTTGCCATCGACGTCAACATTGTGGCGTGCAAATGCCGAAGGTTCCCTCTCAACCCTCTCTGGTGGTTATCTGTTTCCACCGCCATCGGATTTAGCCGTGTAGACTCGAGATCAGCTGAGTGGGCTGCGATTTTCTTGTTTGGAGGCTGACTAAGATTTTGAAACATGAAGGTTTGTTTTATTACGGTGACCTAAGACAGTCCTCCCGCCCTCGATCGAGGAATGGAACGGTCGTCTCACCTCATCACAGTCGGATTTTAAAGGTTCGGATCCGATCATGTGCGAGTTTTGTGACTTGCTATTGACCCATTGTGTTCCCTACCCATTTCATCCGCGTTAGTCATATTCATCTTGCATCAGTAAGATACTTTTTGTGAAGGCCTTTCTACTTTTCAAGTTCCCTTTCTGTTCCTCATACGTAAAGATTTTTTTGGAGGTCCACGATCAGCAATAAGGGCCAAGCATCAACATTCTTTTCTGAACATATAGTAGCATCTTCTTTCGATATAATTTATCTTATTTCCTTCATTTTTACTGTCATTACTTATCGTATAAACATTTTTTTACTTCATAAATCTCATCCGAGGATAAATATAAATGATTATAATATTTTAGCTATTCTAATAAAAGCAATCAACCTAACTGTCTCAGCATGTACCTTGACTTTTAGATTCAAGGAATGAAACCCGTTAGGACACACTTCTAACATATATAATTTTTGAGGAAAAAACCTATTATTCGAAAGAAACTATTTGGAGTTTCACTGTGGAAATAATCCAATCTAACTCTGACAATATAAGCAGAAAAAATAATCCACCAGCCGATATAGTTTATAAGTTTGCTGTCTACCCCAAGACTAAGAGCCAGAAAGCTCCAGACAAACGAAAGAAAAATTTAAACAAATGGTATCCGTCGACTAATAAATGCCAATCTCGCCAATTCTCAACGAAGAGCTTTGGACAAATCGTTTATGAGATGAGCCCCAGGCCAAGCAAACGATTTTTTCTTTGAACTCAAGACGCGAAATGTATAAGCCTTTCTGAAGCCCGCGGCACTAACAAAAACGTGTTCTGGAGGTACCGGGGCGGAAGATGGGAAACGTTCACGTAGGGGGGAGGCACTTGCATTACGGCCGGCCCTGCCGATCAACACGTCCCTGAAAACTTGATACTTCGTATTATTTGCGAAGCTTTAAAAAGCCTTCATATCCCCCGTCAACTAGCTGACGATGGTTTTGGGCAGCTGAGAGCTAAGCCCAGCGGCAAGGACCTTCATTGTGAACAGCTTTCTTATTTTTCTATTCCAAAATGCATGAATCCTGAATCGAAATTTTATTGTGAAGGAAACATATATTACAAGCGGTTATAGTGGGAATTTTACTTACCAATCAAGGACCTGTTGATTGATTCAACGGTCGCTCCTAATCGGCTTAGCCTCATTTTTTTGCGATGGACTAAAGACAAACCCCAGTGCAGAGTTATATAGATTGAATGATAATTCACGGAATAGACTATATGTTGGGTGCGTCGAAAAACAATCCTGCGAGTCAAACTAAGTTTTGTTTAGTTGATCCCCTAATCAATTCTGGCCAGAACCAGCGATGTCTTCCTCCGGCAAACATACGTCCCTTCTTCCTTTTTCCGCTGTTCCTATTAACGTACTTCTTGGAGCCCGATGGTCCTCCTGCATCCCCCATCCACAACCAAAAGGGATGTCTTATTTGTGGAACAGGTTAACAGCCCCGATCCAATTGCACCAAATGAAGGATGAGAGTAGTCATCGATGGCGCAGAATGTCTTATAACAAACTTATTCAAATATAACACCGAACACAAAAGCACAATCACAAGAAACGCATTAGATCCACGCGATTTCAGTGCAACAGAGAAAACGATCTGGAACTTTTTCCAGACTTTGGAGACAACCATGACGCTCCGCCTCGAATCAGCTGCATGCCCCGGCTGAGAACCCGATTCTATTCGCAATATTGTCGTGGGTCACCTCGAATGTCCTCTGCTGAACGTTGCCGATGATGCCGATCTGGGAGGAGTCCGAGTTCCCGGCGAAGGCCAGGCAGACCTGTGCTGAGCTGATCACGTAGAACACCCCGGTTGCCGGAAGCGTGACCTCGAGATTGGTGTACAATAACTTGATCACCGGATACGTCAGGGTCGCCGAGTTACGGAAGTCATAACAAGTGTCCAGTATACTGGCCGCCGGAGCCAGTGGGTACTGCGTCATGGCCGCGCGGAAGGCCGTCCGAAGTGCACTGTACGCCGCAGGGGGTAGGCGGGTGATCACCGTCCCAGAGTCTATGATTGTCCCAACAGATTGAAAGACGGTCGGCGACAATTCAAGCCGTGTCCCCCCTACGGTAATTCCAACGAGATCAATGAAGTAGAGGGTGGGTGCGCGTGAATCCGTAATCATCGGCGTGTAAGCAACGGTAGTTCTTAACGGATTGCCGATATTGAGGTAGCCGGTTGAGCTGCTTGTGGAAGGGAGACAATAGGAGAAGATATTGCCCAGACTGCTGGCTGTCTGCGAGTTAAGCGAGTAGGGGCTGCGTCCGAGCCCGATAAGCCCGGCAGCCCCCCTAAACAGCCCCCGGTTGTTCTGGCCGCACCCAAATATAAAGTTACTGAACACTTTGGTGGACGTCAGCGTGAAGGTATCTATGGCGAGGAATCCAACGGTGGAGGATCCGTCGCCGTAGGTCACCCCATAGAGACAGGTGGTGCCCGAGCAACCTCTGCTGGTAAGCTCGAGGCACGCGGACGCTGCGCAGGTGACATTACGGTAGGTAGACGAGAGGAGGGGATCGAACAAAGGCTCTTGCTGCGAGTAGCAGCTTACAAGGCACGGCTTGCACTGGATCCAGTTCACGTTGCTTCCGGTATCGAAGATGACGGTCTGGCTCTTCGTCGGAGTGCCAAAACCAACAGTAATGACGTAATTACCGGTTCCGAGGTACAGGCCACTCCTCGCCGGGATGGAGATCTGGCTTCCCAGGAGCACTGTATCGTTCCCACGGGAGACGCCGGAAACTATTTCCTGCAGTGAAGCGACTCGCAGAGAATCCTGGGCGAGAGATTGAAGGTGGTTGGGTTTGCTAACAGACTTGGCTGCGCAAGGACCGTTGCGTTGGACGACCGGCAGAGAGCTGTGGCCGGGAGCTGCATCAGTGCATAGGTCAGAATTCTATCGTAACTTTTGATCATATTGATTCAGATAATTTTATAAATACATATATTTATGACTTTGGGTATGAATATAAGAAATCTCACTAGACCAGCAAAAAAACGGTCAACCTTTGGACGGGGAGCAACCGAGGGAGGGTACCAGACTCGTAATTCTGACTGCTCCGAAGGTGCTCTCCCCATTGGCCTTTCCGCCGAAGGAGAGCAGGGTCAGCCATAGCAGGGCGGAGGACAAAAGGGACGCCCACGCTGCCATCGCTGTGGTATGGTTTCGCGTCGACACCGCTCGGAAAGAAGGCTCCTTATAGGCTTGTTTCTTGCAGACAACTGGCAGAAGTCAAAGTAGAGTACAGGCATCAATCATCTTGCAAATATGGCGTTTCCATGGCGGCATGTGCATAGTGAAAGCGACAAGACGGTTTCTGCGCCAGTTTTTCGAACTTTCAAAGCCAGTGAGTTTAGACATTGTAGACGTCTCTTTAAACAAATAAGTCCTCGAATTTCCAAGGTCGCCGACGCACATGCGAGTATTTATGAATGCGTTAGGTCTCCCGACGCTTCCTGCGCTTTGTGCAAAATGTTCTGGGAAAGGTACGTACCCACGATGAGGTAGTTGACACTCCTGACACGTATCCCTTCGCAAGAATATATGAACCGATTGAGCAACGAGAATATAGAAAATACGAGACGATTCAACTGAGAAATGAAGAGGAGATTATATTTTACGCGGTTCGGGAACTCTCTACTTCACCAGGAAGAGCTACTCTCAAAAACTAAAAGGTACAAGAACTCTACAAACGTGAAGAGAATCCAAAAACAAAAATTTTATCCAGTGGTCTAAACATAAAACTACAGAAATCCATGGAATGAGAGTGAGAAAAGAGGAACTACACTACAGAAGAAACTATAAACTTAAAAAGAATCCAAAAAGAGATGGGTTGGCCTCCTCTCTAAAGAGGAAGCTTGCCAAAGTTTGTCTTCCTTCCTTTAAATGGTGCAGACAACAGTTTCTCAAGCTACGAATGTACTGCACCCGTGACACCACACACCATGTGGAGAGAACGAATCACAAGAGTCTTAGTATCGCAAAGTGAAACGATGGACCACGCTCGCAAAAGTTATCTCACGCCCATACGTCCCGAAGCTAAAACGGCAAATATAGAAGACGATCTGAAAGATAGTGAGGGACAACGTTAGTTCTCAAAGCATTATTTATCTTTAGTTCCCGTGTGTCTGAGACAAACGCACAAGTAATCTCTAGTGCATTAACGACCGAAAAAAATCCTTCGGAAGAAGTCTTTCCTGCTCTTGATTCGGCAGATTAATCAAATCAGTTGATCTAATTATTCTCATTGCAACCTGCTGCGGTAATTTTCCTGCTAGTCCATTACATTTGTTTTCCGTGCGTCTCTCTTTCTCAAAATTAGAATGACTTCAAAGTTTATCATTAATTTAAGATAATAATAATGGACACCTTTAAGCTCTCTCTCTCTCTCTCTCTCTCTCTCTCTCTCTCTCTCTCTCTCTCTCTCTCTCTCTCTCTCCCTATCTCCCTCTCCCTCTGTCCCTCTCTCTGTCTTTCCCTCTCCTTATCTCCCTCTCACTCTCCGTCTCCCACTCTCCCTGTCTTTCTCTCGCCCTGTGGATAAGACCTATCAAATCAGGTTTAGGTTAAACGTCCTCACCTGTTGGTACGCTGAGGGGTTGACTTGTTCCCAGTTGGACACTCCTAGTCAAGGTATTGATGATTTCACCATCAAATAACCGATCGAAGTGGATCATCATTGACTTTGATAAATTATGTAACTACCCCATTTAATATGAGATTAGCCTAACACATGCTGCACTGACCTGTATCGATTATTTCCAAATAAAGTGTTATAAAAACATATAAGTTCAATGTAGAACGTGTTACAATAACCTCAAATTGAATGTAATTCATTGTAGGTTCCAATATTTGTAAATTTTTACACAAAAACAAAGTCATTGTTAGTCTTATATTTCCATATATTTCAATGACATAATTGAAGTTTATGATTTTATCAGGCTTTTATTATCCTCAATATTTTATTAATGTATGACAAAGTCCATCCAATGAGATAATCCTCTTAATCAGCCTGCATCAAGTTTATTTAGATAAAGTGTTAGAAAAATATATAACTTCAATGTTGCATGCATTAGAGTAACCTCAAGTTGGATACTGTTAAATTATAAGTACTAATACTTGTCTATTTAACATAAAACTACTTTAATGTATGTCTAGAATCACAAAATATTTTAATGAGATAATTGAAGTGTATAATTTGCTCATAGACTATTATATTATATCTTCATTATACCAAAAAATTATTCATAAAATAAAGAAGGCCTAAAAAAGGGATGATCATCTTAATTTCCCTACATCAATTACATTCAAACAAAAGTGCTATAAAAATATTTAACTTCAATGTAGCATATGAACGTACTTAAATTCTAGGTTCAAATATTTTTAGATTTGTACATAAAAACTATTCATTGTAAGACTAACATCTGTATATATTTTAATGAAATAATTGAAGTGCATGATTTTCTCATAAACTATTCTATTATATCATCAATACTTTGATAAGGTACTAATAAAATAAATAAGGTTATCCATTGTGATATCCTCTTAATTAACCTGCATTTATTATATTGAAATAAGTGCTACAAAAATATATAACTTCAGTGTGGCATGTGTTAGAGTAAGCTCACATGAATGTTGTTAAATTTCAGGCTCCAATGTTTTTAGATTTTGACATAAAAAAATACTTTATTTTAAGTCTAGTATCTCCATATATCTTACTATGATAATTGAGGTGTATGATTTGCTCATAGAATAATTCTCAGAAACACCCAACATTCTATACTAGTTTTCGTAGTTTACAACTGGCACTAGAGAAGTATAAGACCAAATCTTACATACTTTGGATTTCAGAGTCAAGTGCAGATTTTAGTCTTTAATGTGAACGAATAAATTTATGAATGCAGGAAGTAGTCAATAGTAAATTTCAACAGTGAAAATTTCAATACATTGGTCCCTTTGAGGGGAGGTGGGAAGATCATAGCATTGATCCTTTTATCGTAATTTTATCTCTCTTATTTTTCATGTAGAACGAGCTCAAAAGCAATAATAAGTCTCATAAAAAGGGTCAATCCACTCTCTAGTGAGATATATTTTACAAATCAACGAAAATAAAAGTATGCATTAACTTAGCCCCTAACTTTCACAAGACTTTCAAAAGGTTAGTAGAAAACTAAATGACAATAAGTTCTACTCTTGATCATGAAAACACAAAATATCCACAAGCTTGATAATCATAGGTAGAGGATATGTCAAAAGGTTTTTAATTAGTTAGGCTCTCTCTCTCTCTCTCTCTCTCTCTCTCTCTCTCTCTCCCCCTCTCTCTCTCTCTCTCCTTCCCTCCCTCCATCACTCCCAAATGACTTAAAATAAGGTCCTAGTCAACGTCCCATCAGATCAAGGGGCATTCCAACACTCCACAGTAATCTTGGTCTGTGCAAAAGATCTCCAAGCTTTCCTGGAGCACTTGAATTCCCAAGAGTCATACTGATTTATCATGATACATCGTTGTATCAATCCAAGCTCAATTAGAGAGCCCTAGCTATATACATTTTCGGTAATCGTGGTAGAAAAAACTGACCCGTCTTTCCTTCTTCTTTTTTCTACTCCACCTAACATCGCATGTGTGTTTTACTATTTGACTGCACATCTAGTTGTGATGAACTGCTTTTCTTTCTAAAAGAAAGAATACTTACAATTTATTGTATCTACAATTGAATAAAGAATGATTTACTCTCTAGACCATGAATCGTTCAATAAAATATCTGAAATCATATTCCACGTTTCATCACTTTCCTAGTATTCAATTCCCACATATTTTCATATATATTTCAGCTATATTCTACATTGTATGTACTCTTACGACCTTAAGCTCTCTACATCTGTTTCTTTTTCCGACGTAAATACTATCCCATACATTTTTTTATGTTTCTATCATTGGTTCCATTGAGAGAGGTATAATCTCTTGTGATTCACTAGCTTTTATGATGCTCACTCAATCAAAAATTATCTTCCATGAGGATACACACGGCCTTTATATATCCTTATGAATTATCATGATTCCACAAGAGTTCACAAGTTGAATGTACCAATCAAAAGCATTTACAAAAGTTTAAAGGGGGACAATTAAGAGAGATAGAAATACAATTTTAAGCCCTATAACTAAGGAGAGAATTTCCAGAAAGCTTCTATCTATGATAGCAAGCAAATAATCTAGTATTACCCAACCTCAACTACAATTTTTAATATTTTTTCTGTAAACTTTATATATCATTCCACTGACACAGTGAGTATAGATCCCTTTTGTGATGGCCTTTGTACTTCTCAACTTCCTTTTTTTGTTCTTCATGCGCAAAGATGCTCTTGACCTCTACAAGCAGTAGTAATGGCCAAGCATCGATATTGGAGCTGCAAGGTTCAACCTAATGTTTTAAATCTTTTTATTTTCTCCTAAGACCTAACATTGTCAGATCAAGGGACAATACCTAAACTCTACCTCAAATTTAGACCAAAAAAATCAGTTTCTTTTTTAATATATAGTATCATATTCTTTCAATAATAATGTATCCTATTCCCTTCATTTTTTCTGGTCATTATTAATATACAAGATATTTTTTAGCCTCGTAAATCTCATCCAAAAGATAAGTATTAAGTACTGTAATATTTGAAGTGTTCTGATAAAAAAGTCTAATAGGTTCAGCATGTATGATGACTTTTGGAAACCCTAGATGAAGTAATTATCCTTTTACATAATTGTAACCTTTTTTTTTCAGAAACAAAAAGAAATTATCAGAAAGACTTGAGAAGTTTAAGTAAAATTTCCATATCCATGGAGCAAAAACAAACTATTCAAAAAATGGATTCAATGGTGCTATATACATTCGAGGGCAATGAAAAGGGTGATGGTAACAATCATCGATGCAGTGAGGTGACTCAGTAGTGCATTCTCGTTCATTTGTATATTCGAAATATGGCACCCTTCTAGACACATTTCTGATTTACAAAATATTTGAGGGAAAAATTATTATTCAAATTCAACTTTGGGGTGTCACTATGGAAATAATCCAATATAACTTTGGAAATATAAACTGAAAAAAATATCCAACTAGTGGAGATAAGTTATAAGTTTGTGGTCTATCCCAAGACTAATAACC